AGAGTTTATTTTGTTGTAAAAACAAACAACACTTATACACATACACATCAATAAATACATAACCAATCAGTAAAGAAAAATGAAAAAAATGCTTTCAAAACGAAAGTCTTATTCGCTAACATGTTAAAAAACATTCTGTAAACAACATTTTTTTCTCTATTTTATTAATGGCTATAAGTATGTGTAAACTATCCTATATTGAAAGTTGAGAGGTATCTTGACTAATATTTTTTTTGTTCTTTAAAAAAGTATGTTTTAGAAAGAAAAAAATTATTTCAAATTGAAGAATGTTTTCTGTTTTCAATATGTTTTTTGTTAGTTAATAATGATAAATTGTAAACTTTAAGAAAAATAATTGAAATTGCTTAACTTTTATTGGTTAAAAGTTATAAAAAATGTTAATTACAGAAAAATGCATTTATAGGTGAGTTTTAATGTGTTTTCTTAATATTTGTGAAAACTCTAAGGTTGGGGTGTATTGGATTAGGAATTTCAGAAGATTTGGTGGTTATTTTAAAAAAATTCTATTATTGAATTAATGATTTCTATATGTCTCATCAAAATTGATGTTATTGAACATAAAATTTATGTAAAACTAACTAAAGTCATTTAAAAATTCATGTTATTCAATCAACAATTTATAAAAACTAAATCAAATCCATTGTTCTTGAAAATATTTTAAATGGTGGATTTTAAAACATATTGAGTACTTTTAAATAATTTGGTGAAGTTTGTTAGTTAAAAACATTGAAACCCAAATCCCATTGTTTTAGGTGAGATTTCATATAATTTTAATATCAAATCATATCAACTTTCCCAATTCATATAATATCATCTAAAATTTCAGTAAAACTCAAATCTTTTCAAATTCTCTAAAATTTTAGTTTCAATATACCCTCTTAAAATATTTTTTTATTTAGAAACAGAGAAAATATATAAATAATTTGAATTAATCTACTCGATGTCAATTAGTTTTGGATTGATAACTCATGAAATTTAGCATAGTATGAATGCTTAACACACATACTTTAATAGTCCGCCTAAAAATAGTCTTTATTTTTTTCTTGACTTAATATTGATAGTCGTAACAAGATTAATGGTTAAAAGTATCATTTATTTCGAAAAAAGGTATTGAGATTAATAAAGATTAAAGGGCTACGAGGCTTTAGTTAAAAATGTGTATAAAATATTCTACATTTGGGAAGAACGTTTAGAAAGTTATGAAATTTTAACTGAAAATTCTTTGATAATGCGATTATAAAAACAACTAGTATTAGCTCCGAGCTACGCTCAGGCATTATGTTTTGTTAATTTTAAATATTAAAAAATTCCAAAAATTAGCAACTAAGAGACCCAAGAAAAAAGTCTTTATCAAAGTAACTTAGTCAAAGCAATTGGCTTATGTTGCATGTATCATCGAATTACAAACTGCCAAACAATCAAATCATCGAATTGTACATCATTTTAAGATAATGAAGAAACAATAACAGATCTGTTATATGCTTTCCGATTGAGTTCACCTGTCAAACCAAATAGCAATAGTCAATACATTCTCAAATACAAAATAAATGATAAATATAAGAAGTAAAATAATCAACAGGTATATCTTGGAAATATACGAAAAATTTTGATTTTGAAAGTCTTTTTAGAATAGTATTTTACTCTGTTGATTAGAATTTTAGAAATAGCTTCCTAAAAAAAATGTCAATTAAACAAAAATAACGATAGAATAAAGATCAAGAACAATAAGAGAACAAACCACAAGGAAGAAGATAAAATTTTATCAGATAATTTCATCTTCGATTGCTAATAAGAACTAAACAATTTTGTATATTCGCAGAGAGATTGAAAAATTTAGAGTTTTAAAAAACGATAGAAGTGGGTAAATAGAATTTGAAAATTGAAAGTGTGGTTTTTGTTTTCTGGAAAAGATAGTTTTCCCAACCCTCTCTTTTTCGTTTCCATATTTGAAGAAAGATATATATCATTTAAACTGTAAAAACTGAAATCGCTAAGGAAGAATGTTGTGGTTTTGAATTTAAGGAGATAAAATCTGAAACAAAGGGATGGTGGATTGTGGAGTAATTAATTTTAATTTTTAAAAAATTACCGAAACTGACATACGGTTATATCATAGTAACCTGTCAAAATATAATTAGTAAAGATATTTATGCTTAATAATATCTAGGTGATTGAAAAAAAGGAAATAATTTGTAAAATAGGGATCGTGGCTAGTGGGTAACAAATACAATTTTTTGTTATGAAAAAAAAAAAAAAAAAAAAAAAAATTGAAATAAATATAGAGAATACACGTGTCAAACTGAGAATTGTCAGGATTTCTAAAAGATGGAGACCGAGGGCACCTCTAGGGTTTCGGGAGCACAGGAGCAAGATGCGACGATGATGGATATCAGAGAGAAACCAAGGCCACTGGGGGATCCGCTAGACAAGGGTGACACATGGGCAGCAAAGGTTGCGGGTACAAGTGGAGGAGGTCTCCCGGTGCCGGAGAGTTTTCTAGAGGACAAGTTTGTGATGGATAGGATGCATGTGGAGTTCCCGAACGGTGAAGAAAGAGAGCCGGAGATTACTATCGAGCGGGAAGTGCTAGCAGCAATGAATGGGCTATGGAAAAGATGCATCGTTGTGAAGGTGCTAGGTCGGAATATTGAAATCGTGGCTTTGAACCGGAAGTTGAGAGAGATCTGGAAACCACAAGGAGCTATGCATGTGGTTGACTTGCCAAGGCAATTTTACATGGTCAGGTTTGAAGAAGAGGAGGTGTATTTGGCAGCCTTAACGGGAGGGCCATGGAGAGCTTTTGGAAGTCATCTAATGGTGAAGGATTGGAAACCAGATTTTGACCCGTTATGTGATGAGATTGATACAACCCCAGTGTGGATCCGCCTGTCGAATCTACTGGTTAACTTCTATCACAAAGCGATTTGATGGGCATTGCTCAGGGTATCGGGAAGCCAATTAGAGTTGACCTAACCACACTCAAATTCGAGAGAGCCTGCTTTGCGAGAGTGTGCGTAGAGGTGAACCTAAAGAAGCCCTTGAAAGGAACAGTTATAGTGAATGGAGACCGATACTTTGTTGCCTATGAAGGATTAACAAACACATGTTCTGTATGCAGTATGTATGGGCATACAGTTCATGGGTGCCCAAAGAAACCTCAGTAGAAGGAAACGGTCGTGAGTCCACAGGTAGTTGAGGAATCAAATGGTTCAACGCAAGGTGATTTTGGGTTTACTACAGTCAGGAGAGGAAGAGGACGGGCAGAGGCGACACACAGTCTGATGGCTTCTGGAGCAGAGAATATTGCAGGAGATTCGGTCCGTAACTTGAGGGAGATCCCGAGAAAAGTGGGAGCAGAGAATATTGTTACCTCGAACAGATTTTCAAATCTGGGGACTGAGGCGGGAAGCTTGGGGATAAGGCAAGTCAAAGATACTCGTGAAGCAAATAAGGAAAATGAGGCCCCACGGAATATTTTTCGGCAAGACTTGAGTAGTGAGCAAGGTAGGGAAAAGGCTTCGGGGATGCTTTGCATAAGAGAGGAGTTGTGTTGAATAATGGGCCGACGGAGAAAAGAGTTAGTAAAACAAAGCCCAATAGTACGAGTCGGGCTAAGACGAAGCAGGGTTATTACCAAAAGCGATAAATGAGACACACGTCAGACTTATCCCAAAATTTCAAGAGCCGAGGAAGGTGGCAGATTATAGACCAATTGCGCTATGCAGTGTCTACTACAAAATAATCTCCAAGCTACTGACTAAAAGGTTACAACCATCATCTCAGACTTGATATCAGAGAACCAATCGGCCTTCGTTCCAGGGAGGGCAATCAATGACCATGTTCTCATTACCCATGAGGTACTACACTTCCTAAAAGCCTCTGAGGCGACTAAAAGATGCTCAATGACCATGAAAACGGACATGAATAAGGCTTACGACAGACTAGAATGGAGTTTTATCGAGCTGGTCCTCAGAAGATTTGGATTCCATGAAAGATGGATATCTTGGATAATGCAATGCGTCAAAACCAACAAGAAGTATACGGCAGGGAGACCCTTTATCCCCATACCTGTTCATTCTGTGCAGTGAAGTCCTTTCAGGGCTATGTAAGAGAGCACATGAGGAAGGAAAACTCCAAGGGATAAGAGTTGCAACTGGCTGAGTGAACCACCTCCTTTTTGCCGATGATACCATGTTCTTTTGCAGAACGAATGATGTGAGTATAAAAACCCTCGGCATTATCCTAGACCGGTACGAGCAAGCTTGGGGGTAGAGTATTAATCACCAAAAGTCAGCAATTACCTTCTCAAGGAAAGCTACAGCGGAGCTAAGGGCAAAAGTGAAAGGAGAGCTGAAAATTGCTTACGAAGGAGGAACCGGGAAGTACCTAGGGCTGCCTGAACATTTTGGTCGACAAAAGAAGGATCTGTTTACCGGAATAGGTTACAAGATTAGATAAAAGTCCAGGATGTGGTCCACATGGTTTCTCTCAACCGCCGAGAAGATGGTTCTACTAAAGAGTGTACTATCTACAATGTCAAACTACGCTATGACCTGCTTCAAACTGCCAGTATCACTGTGTAAACGAATACAATTCGCCTTGATGAGGTTCTGGTGTGATATGAAACAGGATGAGAGGAAAATGTCGTGGATATCATGGAATAAGATGATAAAAGGAAAGAAGGAGGGAGGCCTCGGTTTCCAGGATATCCAAAGCTTCAATGATGCACTGATCGCTAAATAAGCTGGCGGATCCTAATGAACTCCCAGAGCCTCCTGGCGAGGATACTCCACGGCAAATACTGCCTTGATAAGCCGTTTATGGAAGTTTCAGCAACAAACAACTGCTCCCACGGATGGAGAAGCATTCTTATAGGAAGAGATCTGCTAGGTCGAAATTTGGGATGGGCAATAGGCGATGGGGAATCAGTGAATACCTGGACAGATCCCTGGCTTTCGTCAGAGAATGTAGAACGACCCATGGGCCCAGCTCCAGCAAACAGCGACGGCTTACTGGTGGCGACTCTACTCCGGGACGAAACAGGAGAGTGGGATGTCGGAAAAGTAGAGGGCCTTCTACCGCTCTTAACCTCTAAGAATCTAAGCATCAAACAAGCAAAAAAGGAGCACCAGACAAGAGAATTTGGCTTAGGAAAAGCTCAGGAGTATACTCCTCTAAGACAGGTTACTATGCAGCCCTAGAGCACAATACAAAGCACGAGGAAGACCCCCATCAAAGCCAAATTCGCTGGATAAGTGACATTTGGGCCCTCAAGATACCACCAAAGCTCAAACTATTCCTATGGAAAGCAAACCATGGTGCACTACCAGTAAATGAACGACTAGCAGCAAGACATATTATTCCATCCAGCAAGTGTCCTCTTTGTGACCAAGACGAAACTATACTACACCTTTTCTTCCATTGCCATTATGCTAAAAGAGTTTGGGAAATAGTACCTTTCTCAGTGAGCTTTGAAGCAGAAAAACAGAGGAGCTTTATCGAGGGATGGAAAGCGCTTCAAGAGCGGCACTTCTCAAAGCCCCATGGATCCTCTGGTCTATCTGGACAGCTTGGAACCACAAGCTCTTTCAAGAGCGGCACTTCTCAAAGCAGGAGACCGTGGTCAAGGCTATTGGTAACGCACGTGAATGGATAGCTGCACAAAAAACAGAGGTGACTCCTTCAATTCCGGTGGCGAGATGTGACCCTCAAACCAGAGAAGAAATCGTCTGCAAATCAGATGCAGCACGGAATGCGAATCACTTGATGGCTGGAGGAGCTTGGAACTTCTCTCGATCTAGGGACGGCTTGAACAAATCTGAATCCCAAACCTTTACGTATGTGAAATCTCCCCTTGCGGCGGAGGGACTGAGTCTGCGAGCGGCTATGGAGCAGGCAATTTCACTGAATCTTAAACGCATCTCCTTCGAATCCGATTGGAAGACCCTAATAGCAGTAATAAAAAATGGCGAATGCATCTCCGACTTGCATGGTATAGTCGCGGATGTCATCTCCCTGACTTGTTCTTTCGACGCTGCTTCCTTTCATTTTGTTAAAAGAGAAAAACTCTCTTGTGTCGACAAGTTAGCTAAGCAGGCCTTGAGCCTAGTTGTACCAAATCCAATTAATTTTCAATTAAAGCATTTGGTGAACAGAAAAAAAAAATTAACCAAAAGACTATTATCTTACAACATGACAAATAACAAATAAAAAAATAAAACATTAACAAAAATACAATAACTACACTTAACCAAAAAAAAAAAGACACTTCAATACTATATAAAAAAACAATAAGCTACAAATAGCAAACACCATAGAGCATTTAATTAACAAATAACCATATTAGTTCTACCACGAATCCAATGGAAAATATACTATATGCATTATATTACAGGAAAATTCCCCTTACCCTATCGACCGAGCACAAATTCTATCTTTAAATTACATGCCATTTTAGTTCTACCACGAATCCAATGAAAATATACTGTATGCATTATATTACAGGAGAATTCCTCTTACCCTATCGACTGACCACAAACTCTATCTTTAAATTACAAGTCCACTCCGTCAAAAAAACAAAATCAAATACACAAACATAAACTACAAAAAGATGGTAATTGTACTACTATATGTTTTGATAATCTAGAAAGACTAAAAAATATCAATATTTTATTTTATGGTCATAAATTTTACCGTAAATATATTTCTGAATAGTTATATTACAGAACAACATATTCTTATTATCGAGGTGAAATAATATAATATTTTTAAATTCTTTTAATTAATAACTAAATTCTTAATCTTTTTACAAATTATTATTAAACAAACAGATTATAATATAAATATTATTATATGACATCAAAATATAATAAATCTGCGCAATGCGCGGACCTCTCCTGGTAATAACATATGTATTTGTTCCTTTGGCAACGTACATAGTTACGAATAAATGTGTAGTGTTATGACAACCTTCAAACTCGTTAATAAATAATAACTAGATTTTGGACTCGCACAGGTAATAAAATATTTTTGGGCTACAACAAAAATCGGTTTATAATAAACTTTTGTTCAAACAAAAATCAGTTTATATGATTAAATCCAAAATTGTAGCCTAAACGGAATTTTTTATTAGATTATATAAAGTAATTTTATATTATGGTTCTTAAAATTATTTAGGCTTGATATTATAAAAAAAAAATTTGATTAGTGAATTATCTATTAATCTTTGTAACAAATATTTCAAAATATTATGTTTTCTAATGCAAGAGAAATTTTATTTGTTCGTAATGAATATTTCAATATTTACTTAGGTTTTGTTTATTTTTGAATCCAAATAAGTATTTGGATGCAAATACTCAAATATTGTTCTTTTAAATAATTTTAAATCAGTATATGGATGTTGTATATGGATGTAAAATTTATAATATCTCAAAATATGGATATTTAAGATGCTAAAAAAATATAGTTTGGATGCAGCATTTGAATCTCAAAAATTAAAAGATCATAACACCCTTTAATTTAAACCACAAAATCAAGTTTTTTTTGTCAAAATAAAAAAAAATCAGAGTTTTCTATTGAAATAGAAAGCCGCATTTTTCCGCAAAATCATAAAACCGCGTTGTTGTACCAAAACCAGGATGAATCGTAATAAAAACCTTCAACTACTAACATAGTAATAAAATCCCTCACGTTTATGTCTGTTAATGTCAATCCCCCTCTGTCTACAGCGACGTTAAAATCGAAGAGAACGTGTTAAATCCAAACGCGGCATTTTGTATAAATAGAAAACAACATGTATTTTGTTTACTAAAACAACATGACTTGTGAAAAAAACAGCAGGATGTTTGAAAAAATGAATCAAAATCCCCAAATTCATCGAAGATCCTAAAACCCCCCAAAGTAATCGACGAACCTAAACTTCTGAAAGTGATATCTCAGAAGTTTCAGTGGCATGGATGTCGATTCGGCGAGATTAAGAGTGATTTCTCCAATCCATAACTTCAAATTTGAGAGAAATCTAAGAAACTGGAAGAACATCTTTAAAATTTTAGGAATCCAGCAAAGTTGATTGAGAGAGATTGGATGCGCCTAAAGCTTGCAAGATGATTAAGTAATTGTGTATGATGATCTCTCGCTTCTTATGTTTCAATTTCAGCAGTTGTGTTTTCATATATTATTGCATTTTTTATTTCGTTTCTTTACAAATAAATTGGGCTGAGTTATAAACACATATGGTTGTGTTCACGATGGTTTACAAAAAATACATGTCGTTCTCTATTTATTCAAAACGCAGCATTTAGATTTTAACAGGGTTCTGTTCGGTTTTAACGTCACTGTAGACGGAGGGGGGTTGACATTAACGAACATAAACGTGAGGGGTTTTATTACTAAGTTAGTAGTTGAGGGGTTTTATTACGATTCATCTTTACATGAGGAGTTTTATAACTAAAAACCCAAACTGTAAAAATAGCATTTTCCATCAAACCGTATTTTCCTGCCAAAACTGCAAACCCATATTTTTTAACAAAACCAAAAATTATGTTTTCTCCCAACACCATAAAACCGTAATCTATGGCCAAATTTCTACAATTACTTGTTTTTATCAAACCTATAAAATTGCGTTTCCCATCGAACCCGCAAACCTGTATTTTCAATAAAATCCATAAAACCACATTTTTCAATCAAAAACTATAAAACAGCCAAAACATGTAAACCTCGTAAAATCCATAAAATCACAATTCCCGTCTAATCCATGAAACTGTGTTTTTCCGTAAAATTTTAAAATCGTGTTTTACGACCAAATTTCTAAAATTATGTCTTTCTGCCAAACCTGCAAAATAAATTTCCAAACCCACAAACCCGTATTTTCCCGTAAACCCAGTAAAATTTGCAAAATCATGATTCACGACCAAATTTCTAAAATCATGTGTTCCAGCTAAATATACAAAAGCATATTTCTTGTCAAACCGGCATTTTCTCGTAAAACTATGTTTTCCGTTAAAACTTATAAAACCCGCTAAAACTTGTAAAATTCGTAAAATCTACAAAATTGTGTTTGTCAAATCCACAAACCCATGATATCCTGCAAAAAATCATCAACAAACCAGACAAAAAATTATTTACATATTTTTTTTATAGTATGTATATATATAACCAAAAAAATAATGATTACATAATCATCATTGATTATAAATTGTCATATTTAGTAAATACTATAGTAGCTTGTAGACATTTTAAAGCAGTGCTTCTATTTTAATAATATAGAGAAGAAATTGATTATAATATAATATATATTTAATTTGTAATATAATATAGATAATTATATTAGTATTCATGGCATATATATGTCGTAATTATGTTAATATATTATGAAGATTTTGAAATAATTTTAAAATTAAATTAATTTGAATTTTATTAATATTGTTATTATCTGTTAACAAACTAATATAATTTAATTTAATTTAATGTATTTGTTAAGATTTTAATGATATGACTAAATTACCCTTAATGAATTAATGAAATTATCTAGCAAATGTAATGACACATTTAGTAAATACCATAGTAGCTTTTGGATATTTTAAAGTAGTGATTCTATGAGTGTTTGCAAGAATTAGTCGGGGTTTTGCCGTGATTAATAAATGCATGTAAAAAAATAATGATTCTATTTTAATAGTATAGATATATCAAATAACTAATGATTCTTTTGGATCCGTGCCAAAATCCTCAAATCTGCAATAAGCGCATGTTCAAAAATATTACTCTACACTTAACACAAATCAAAGAATTTAACTGAATTAAGATTCAAAGTTTTTAGAAAATAATTTCGAATTTGATAATTTTAATATGTTAATTTTGACCGAAAAATATAACATGTGCCATGCAATAAAAATTTTATGATGAAAACGTTATGTTTTAATTTTGAAAAGATTTAGGAAAATGAAGACTTTTTAAAAATTAATTAATATTTTTTTCTTAAATTGACGTAAGATTATACAATTAATATAAAATGTGACAGAAGTTGTTATGATCATAATAATTATATTATATAATTTTAAAAAAAATTATATGTGAAATACATGAAAAAAAGAAATTTTTTTGTGTAAATGTATAAATTAAATCTAAATTAATATAAAAAATATGAGATTTTGTATTTTACTTTATTGTTGTAAATTTATCAATGATATATCATAATTGTTTGATAAAATATCCATTTCGAAAAAATCGAAATTTTCTTGTAAAAAATGATAATATATCATATTTATTATTGGTTGATAATTATATATGTAAAAATGGAAATTGATTATAGTATAATATATACTTAGTTTATAATATATTCTGATTTAATATGTTAGTTATTTATGTCATATGTATTGATAACTATGTTAAGATATTGCATGATATTATAAAAAAAATTGAAATAATTTCAAAATTAAACTAAATTTAATTATATTAGTTTGTTAACAGATAATATCAATTAAAATCTGTTTTGAAAAAAAAAATCAAAAATATATGTATGTACATAATATTTTTAAAAACTTTCATAAAAAAAATTATTTACATAATATGTATTATATGTAATAAAAAATACTACATATTTATTATTAACTATAAATATCAAATTATATATAAGAAACAAAAATTGATTATAATATTGATTATAGTATGTTAATAAATTCAAATTTAATATATAATTATTTATGTCATATATATGGTAAATATGTTAACATATTACATGATATTATAAAAAATTTTGAAATAATTTCAAAATTAAACTAAACTAAATTATATAAATTTGTTAATAGATAATATTAATAAATCATGTTTGTATTAATAATAAATATGCAGTTTTAATAATATGACAAAATAAATGATTAAATTTTGTGAATCCAATTGTATATTTAATAAATACATAAAATTAATGATTCTCTTTTAATAATATAGTTTTAATAATATAGAGGAAATACAAATACTTTGAAAACAATAGGAAGGGAAGAGAATGTTAATAATTTAACCTCAAAAGAAATCCACCAACATCAAAATCAAAATGTGTCAAAAAGGAAGAAACAAATACTTTGAAAACAAAACAATGTCTAATGGCATTTCAATAACAAAGAAATCTTCTCAGCTTTGAACAAAATAAAAATAATAATAATCTTCTAAGCTTTGACTCGACCGAAGGACTTGGCCTTCTCCTGAGAAGTCTGGTAACTACGGTGTCCGAATCCGGAAGAAGTGTCAATGAACTTAACCTTGATCTCCTCCATAGCAACCCTAGACGTCTGTTTCACCAATGTCTGTCTCAAAGTCACCACACGTTTCTTCGGCCCCACGCAACATCCCTTGATGATCAAATAATCTTCCTTCACTATCCCATAGTGAGGGAATCCTCCCATCGGTGTGATCTCCTTCTCAGTTCTGAACACAGAAACAGAACATTAACACCTAAAGTCAAGTTCACAACACAGATGATCAAACACATCTCCAAGATTGTTTTGTTTTTGTTACCTGTCAAACTCAGTCATGGCCAAGTGAGACTCTTGGCCAACTTTCCCAATCCGGTAAACTTTCTTGTTCATCTCCGTACGGTGGTGGTAACCGTTTTGCCCGGCTCTAGCCACTGTGTAGGAGACTCTAGCCGGATGCCAAGCTCCAATACAAGCAACCTTGCGGAGCCCACGATGAGTCTTTCTTGGAAGACGAGTCACGCCCCATCTTGTAACCACACCTTCATAACCTTTTCCTTTAGTGACACCGATTACATCAATCATCTCATCTTTCTGAAAGATAGCATCCACAGGGACTTGCTTCTCGAATAGACTGTAGGCATAGTCAACCTTCTTTGCTATATCTCCACCATTGATCTGAATCTCGTTCAAATGCGCCTTCTTCTGCTTCAGCCCTTTCATTTTCCTTATCTGATGCATGTCAAAAAGTAAATAAGAAACGCATAAAGCAAATGAAACTAATGGAGTTGTTGACCATATTGAGAAAGATAGAATACCTGAGTGTGAGCAAGAACTCTGATGACAGTGCAGTACTTTTTCATCTTCTCCAATTGACTTTGAATGTCTTTTTTACCTTCTTCGGTTTCATGTTTCTTCGAGTAGTTGGTGAAAGCCTTCTTCTTCGACTTGCACCAGTTCTTGTAAAACCTCCTCCTTACTTCTTCGCTCAGATGCTGAGCCCACACAGTATTTAGAGTGCGCAGACCACGAGGTGTCTTCACATACCCAACCACACCAACAACAACCATTGGAGGTGTCTCAATCACAGTCACAGCTTCACAAGTTTCCTTCTTGTGGAGCTCTGTCAAGTACATTAAAAGAGATCAGCACAAAAACACATGCAAGTGATGTGAACTTAATAAGTGAAGAGAGTGAGAACACACTTGATCCAGGCTTTTCAACCTCTCTCACAATGTGAGTCATCCCAGCTTTGTATCCCAAGAAGGATGTGAGCCTGCAAGGCTTAGTAGGATCATCCTTAGGGAAGGCCTTCACTGAAAACACAAAACACAGTCCATATGGAAATTAAAGTTGCTTTGAAATAGATTGTAAACAATAAGATAAGATACAAAATGTCAAATACAAAAGACGCAAGAAATTGGTTGAAGAATGCAAAAAGTAACTACCTTTTCCACGGTGTCTGCTAGATCTTTTCCTTGGAAGGAAACCCAAAGAACCATGTCTTGGATGCTCAAACTTTCTGTGAGACATTCTCTCTCAACTAGAAGCAAACATTAGCAAAATAAGATGAATTTTACAAAAAGAAGACGATATACTGTTCAAGAACAACAAAAACAACAAAAGGATGACAAAATCTGCAAGTGATTTATGCAAAAGATGATTGAACGCCAAGTATAACCTAAGTTACTCACTTTTTACAAATTGACAAAAGCCCTAAAACAATCTAAGAGAAGCAATCAAAACATAAATGTACAACAAGAGATTAATGTAAAAGATAACTGAACGAACTAAGAAGTATAACCAAGTTACACACTTTTTTACAATAGACAAAAGCCCTACAAGAATATAAGAGAATCGATCAAAACATCAATGTACAAGAACAGATTTGTGAAACGAAACAAAACAGGATTAGCAGAGAAACAAAACCAACGATATACTAATCAAGCTTAATGTAAAGATGATGCTGCAAGTGATTTAAACAGATTTATGTAAAAGATAATCGAACGCCAAGTATAGCCAAGTTACTCACTTTTTTAACAAATTGACAAAAGCTCAAAAGCAATCTAAGAGAGGCAATCAAAACATCTATGTACATGTACAGATTGTGAAAAGAAAACAAAAAACAGGATTCGCAGAGAAACTTAGACACATGAGAATACTCTCAGGATTTCTGGTAAGATGATACGAATTGTTCCCTCGATCAAAGGCCTATGGCATCATTAAGATAGCCAAATCTCGAGCTCTGTTTTAAGTGTTTCTCACCAGAAACCATTAAAAATGATTTCTAGCAACAGAGCAGATCAGAGATTCCGGCCTTGATTTAATAGAGATTCCGAGGGTTTTCATTCCGATCATAACCAGAAGAAGATGAGAGTATACACACGTGAAAAGATTTTCATACCAAAAACACAAACTTTTTTTTTATATAAAATTGCGTAACAGTAGAATACAGATCAGAAGAAAACATGCGAAAATTGAATGGAAAACGCCACATTAAATGAAAAATCAGTGAAAAAAACAATGAGGTCAGAGAGGCAAACCAAAATCCAGAATCTCCAGAAGATAATAAAAAAACCAGATCGAAGAATCTAATCGCAAATAAAAAGGTGAGAAGCTCGTGTACCTTAAGGTTAAGACGGCGATATGAGGGGAGAACAATTAGGTCAGTTGAAATTTTATTGGATTAAGGTGTATTTATACTCTCTTGTCTGTCTAGGGCTTATAAGGGTTAAGCCAAATGAAATATGGGCTATTGGGCTTTCGTCGTGTTAGGTTCAAATAGCCGGGCCCGTTTTTATAATGTATATTTTGGTTTATTTTTTTTAGCTACTATCTTTAAAATTATAAAAATTTATATATATTTATAGAAATTTTCATTTATATAAGAGAATTTAATATATAATATGTAATTTATCCTATTTTTATTTATAAATTTTGAAAAACTATTAGGTAAAATAATAACAATGACACTTATCGAATTATCTAACTTTGACGTACATATACATTTGATTTAAAAAAATATAATTTTGCTAAGATTTTGATATTATTTTCTGTTTTCCATAGAATTTCTATAGTACTTTTTTTCTTGAGGGTTTATGTATTCAATTATTTAGTTTTTTTTATTGAAAGTGTTATTGATGTTGTGTACCACTATATATATAATCCATGATTCATGTTGATTCACATTTACTTTTGTTATAAAGCTGTAATGATTATGCAAAACTATTTTTTCTTGCTCCATCATGTCTTTCAAGAGTTTTATGTTATATTTTTATTCAGTTTTCATTGTTTTAATTGTTAAATCGAGTTGTTGTAGATTTTTTTAATTGATAATTGATAATGGTTACTTTTTTTTATACATACATTGTTAATTGTTAATTTTTTATTTAAATATTAAATTTTTAAACTATATTAACATTTTCTGATTTAATAAATATGTTGATTTGGATCAATCAGATTGAATTTTTTTTTTTTGTTAGACATAATTTGTTAAATTAACTTTTAATATTTTAGTTATACTTAATAATTTTTGTTTGATTTAAAAGCTGATGTGGACCAATTAAATAAAGTTTTCCATCCTAATCATACTTAACATTTTTTTATTTAATGAATATGCTGATGTGGACCAATCAGATCGAGTTTTTTAATCTCATGTGGACGCCCTCAATGAACTATGCCATCAACTTTTATATATTACTAGGCTTTTAACTCGCGCTATGCGCGAGACTGTATTAATAATTTGGTTTAATTCTTTTTTGGTTAATATCTTTTAAATTATCAAAACTATAATATATTTTCTTTTATATAAAAAATGTAAAATATAATATGTAGTTTTCTCTATTTTTTTGTTTATAAAATTATAAATCTTAGTAAGTAAAATCATAGTAATGACACCTAACAAATTATCTAACTTCGGCGTGCATACATTTGATTTAGAGAATAATTTTCATACTAAATTTTTGGTGTTTTTTGTGTCCTTAGAATTTCTATTGTTATTCTTTTTTAAGATTTGTGTGTTCAAAAATTTAGTTTTTGATTGAATGTCTCACTGATGTTGTGTAACTATGCATATATAATATATTATTCATGTTTAATCGGATTTCCTTTTGTTAGGATGCTACAATAATTGTGTAAATCTGCTTCTTGCTTCTCCACCAAATCGTCAATGAATTGTAGGTCAATCTCTATTCAGTTTATAAGATTTGTTTTATTTATAATCAGCTATTTGATAATTTTTATTTTTAAACATGTAAGATGGTGTGAAGTCTTCATATTATTTTTTATTGTTTTTATCTTTTGTGTGTTTTATTCATGTTTTGATTTGAATAGTTTATCTAGATATATTCCAATTTGAAGTTGATTCATAACTTTGTCATACATTATTATTTAAATAAAAATTTAGAAAGTGTCACTCATGTACTGCACATGTTGGCTAAGTTATAATTAGTAACTATTTATAAAAATCAGACTTTGTTACTTGTTATATTTCGAATGTAAAGTTACCTATGTAGTATTTTTTGTTAGTTTTTAAACCAGACGAAGCCAAAGTATTAGTCTTTGTAAATTTAAATAAAATGTTTTAGAAACTCATATAACCTACTGTAACTTTATATGGTTAATCAAAGTCAATACCAATATTTTAGAAGTAATGAATTTCCTGGAACTAAATTTCAAACTAATTTTTTTTTAGATTTTTTTTTTGTTATTTTATATATTTTATGGTAATTTTATATTCTATTTTATTTATATATGTTTTTGCATGTTTGATATAGTTAAAATATATATATATATATATATATTTAATTGAGCTATTTTGTTATCAGTTTTCCAATTAGGTTGCATATATATCAATTTAATATCTTTTAAATAAATGTTTTTTATTTGTTAAATTTATTTTTACATTAAATTTAATTTTAATTATAATGCTGTTTTGACATGCTATAACTGGTTATTCCAAATTTTATGTGGACTTCTCTCAAAAGTTTATACCATCATTGCTTTTTAGTTAATATTTTTATGTTGATTTTTTAAAACATTAGCCTAAATACCAAGCTAATTTTAATTTATACGACTTTTTCTTTTGATAATATACCTTTTTGATATTAATATATATTTTATTTTAACAGATAATTGTTTTGAAAATATTAATATTTTTGAAGACATAATTTCATCTTTTGTTATTTTGTTAGCTAAATATTTTTATATTGATTTTTCAACAAGTTAGTCATATATGAAATCAATTTCTTTTTAAATAAATTTTTTATATTTAATATTTTGTAAAAATTAATTTTCGTTATATTTTTTATGAATTAGTTTTTTTAATATTTATTCCTTAAATAATTAACGTAAATATTTATCTTCTTTTTGTTAGTTAAATTTTTTAATATGACTTAAGTTTTTTTATACTCTTACTAATTTGTTTATATTGACTTGTTAAATAAATAGCATAGATATCAAGTTATTTTCTTTTTTTTCTCTATGTTCATTTAACTTTTTCGATATAAAATTTTCATTTCTCTATTTTGTTTTTTGTTAGTTAAATATTTTTATATTGCTTTCTTCAGTAATTAACATAAAGTATTATTTTTTTGGTTTGCTAAGCTTTTTGTGTTGATTTTCTAAATAATTAGGCTCAATATCAAGTTTTTGATGACTTTTTATTTTATTAATTTAACATGAATGTTTTTTTGTAGTATTTATAGTTTTGAATAACAATTTTATATGTCTAGCGGCAAAATTTAACCTTAGTACTTTTACTAAATAAAATACTCATTTAAAATATATATGTTAATTTTTTTCTTTTTTTTATTTAACTTTTTCATTATTGATTTACATATTTGTTTTGGTTAGTTTAGTTTTGTCACACTGGGTTTCTATTTTATTTTGACATATGTTATAGATTTAGATTTTTGACATAACTTTATTTTATCTCTTTTATTAGTTAAACTTTTTAATCTTAATTTTCCAATTATACTACGATAATTTTTTATTTTTATATGTTTTAATTTATTTAAATTATTAATCATATTTAATATTTTTATATCTAATAAAAAACGTTTATATAGACCAATCATATTGAGTTTCTATGTCCTATGTGGATGCTCTCATTGACACAATACATCAACACATACCACAACTAATATATTTTAAGTTATCAGTTCAGATTTTAATGGTTTGTCATGATTAAAAATTTGAAATAGTTAAGTTATAGTCTTAAATACAGTTTTTAATTATTTTGTTCAATATATATAATTTTTCTTTAATAATCTAATTATATGTTCATTTACTTTTGTTGTTAATAGAAAAATATGATCTATTTTCTAAACTCTTTCTTATTAATAAGTAACTTAAAATTTAGAAAATTTTCTAATAACAACAAAAACTAAATTAATTAAAATTTAGAATATTTCCATTTGGAAAACGAAATTAATTAATTTTAATATAAAATATATAAATAACTATAAATGATGATGATGTTGAAAATCGTTGAAATAAGTTTATTAACTAAAGAAAGATAATTTCAAAATCGT